GCAGAGGTCGATAACATTGTTGGTAATAAGCAATAACCAAACTTAAAGATAACGTACTCGCTACAGTTACTTCGAGACAGCTCGTTAACTGATACTAACATTAACGTTTACTGAAGTAGACGATGGGAATTTTGGTCCAAATTGCTTGTTTATTTTATTTCCAATCAAATTATATTTTAGTGACAAATTATCTAGTTTTACTTTCTCATAGTTGTTTACATTAATAAATAACCGTCAAAAATTACTTACTTATCTACTTATTGCTAATGAACGTAATGAGATAAGTAATGTTATTGAAGTTACCAAGTTTGTTTCTGCGACGAGAAATACTTATTGTAATTTAGGTAAATATGTCCGTAAGATTGTTCGAAAGCAACCTTTTACGCATAGCACGAATAAAACCTTATTTTTATGCGTTAAAATACAATATCGGACATTTTGGTTGCATGCATTCAGCGTTATAGGAATTTAAATATCTTTTATGGCGGCTCTCGCACATGGACAAAGGTATCTCCATAAGTTACGACACACATAATTTACCTACCTTGGAGTTATGTATTTGTGGACAGGCTGTTAATTATTTAGCACTGTTTGCAGCTTGATGTATTTGCCACTAAATTAACAGGTGTCGACAGAATTGCGAAATGAAGAACTTTTAGGCCTTTTAGTAAATACTTACGTTAGAACATTTGACAACTTTTCGAAGTCAACAGATACCTACAGAATGGCATTTTATTCTTGATTTTGATTAAGTCAGTGGCTCTTAATCAACTTTTTTTTTTCAATTTAGAATATTATTTATTAGTATTCCTCTATAAGACTAGGAAGAACCAGTGGGTTGGTCTTCCCTGATCTAATCGTTAAAACCAAGAACCTCATCTATCATTTAGTATCTCAGTACAATTTGTGATTGTTGTTATTATCCTTGAGAGGATTTATGGATTAATTTTGTGTTGGAAGCTTCAATTTGTGAAGTTATGAAGATTTAAGATTAACAAAACATAAATTACAAAACAGTCGAGTTTTATCGAACAATCAAGCTTTTAAGGTGAGTATAGGATAGGCTAGAGCATTTAGGTAGGTCTGAACTTGTAACAGAATAACAAGCCACTTTATAAGATATTCTAGTTCTAGTGCATCATCCTTTCATGAATTAAAGGTGCTTAATTAGTGTACTTCATTTTTTTTTAATTTAATTTTTACTTGACCTGTTAAAGATGGTAATATGAATGCTTTGAAGCAGTTAAAAATATAACTTTAATAATATGAGTAACATGAGACTTTCATCCATAGTTTTATTAGTAAGAATTAGTTAAAACTTTCCTCATATTATACTCGTAAAGACGATGTACTTAGTACATTTAACGCACTTTAGTTCTTAGTTGTGAAATAGTGTGCGTGCATATGGTAGTGCGATATCCAGCTTAATCTAATACCTTTTCTACACAAGCACTAATACAGTAGTAATAAAATAGTTATTAACTAATAAAATTGTCGTAAATGAAGTAATATTCAGCTACCTAAAGTAAAGGCATTGCACATCGGAGTTTTAGTTATCATGTTATGTTTATGTTAGGATTTTCCATTTATTTTATAACTTACTTACCTACTTGTTTTATATAACCAAAAGTAAGAGTGAAATAGCTCTACAAATTTTTTGTGAAATAGTTAAATCATATTATTGTTTACTTATATTAAGTGCTCATATTTCCCGTGATCGTCAGTTTTGTATGTTGTAAAATATGATGAAAATGGATATTATGGCCTATTTCATGTAAAAATCTAGAGTTTTCTTATATACGCGTTATAGTAGAGATTCGATAGCTATGCTGTCTTCTTTTATTTATTTTTGATGTCTGGTATATAAGGCGAACTTAAAGCCATTGGGCATTCTCTGCCAGTTAACCTTTTTTTTAATGCATTGAAAATCATTAGATATCTAATTGCCTATCGGATAAATATTTACTTTGAGTCAAATTTTCACACGAGTAGAGTTGCAGGCATTTGTTTACGTCAATTAACCGTCCAGTACCTCTAGTACGAAAAACTTTCGAGTTCGTTTCGTTGCGTATTCAAAGTGTCATCGAAAAATTTTGTATGAAAAATTAAACAGCGCCCCCTACATTATAGCCGCCCTAGGGGGCGCTGTTTAATTTTTCATACAAAATTTTTCGATGACACTTTGAATACGCAACGAAACGAACTCGAAAGTTTTTCCTACTAGAGGTACTGTTCCTCTAGCATGAACAACTTTCGTCTGCGAATCGTTTGCGTATTCGATACTCAACCTTCGAATTAAACGATAACGTGACAATTTTGATTTTCAAAATAAGTTTCGTGCAACCATTTCTTACACTAAGTTCACTTTACGACACGTCCACAAGGGTGCTGTTGTAGTTTTCGTACTAAATCTTATGATGGCGATTTGAGTACGCAAACGATTTGAACTCGAAAGATTTTCGTGCTAGCCGTACTGGAGTATTTGATTAGTGTGTCAAAGGAAAAGTTATCTATCTATTTAATGTTGTCGGCCGTCGTCCTGTAGGCCTAATTACCAACTCTTTGAACAGTATTTTGTGTCGTTAGCATGAGGCCCACGCGTGACGTGAATTTAATAAGGGTTTACTGAACCTCAGAATACTTCTAGGCTTTATTTGATTGTATTATCAGATTATAACGATTTAATCAAAGCTGTATGATAACAATTTAAGTATTTTTTTTGCTATCGGGCCTTAATTCACAACCTTAACTGTTATCTAGTCACAACAATAGCTTGTATTAGTTTGGGACTTTAGCGGCCAAGCTGTAGATCCCGGTTAAGCAGAAGTTATAGAGGGGAACGAGAGGTGGGAATAGTTCCTTTCAGTAAGATTAATCCTATTTCAAGGCTTTTCCATGGGGAAATACTTATTATGCACTTTGCTTGCCAACAAGTTTAAGTTATTTGAGTTAGTGGGTCGTTAAGTCAATTTGAAAATTTAAATGCAATTTTACCGCAACTACCTGCTTGAATGAAAATTGAACTTAATAATAGTTTAGGTAACAGTAGTATGTTAATTATTTTAATATTTGTCAACATATTGAGATCTCGGCTACGACCAGAGCGAAACCCACTAATTATCTAAATAGGAGCCCAGTCTTAAGTGCTGGTTGTAGAAATAATCAAATAAAATTAATAGTTGGGTGCAAAATATTCTAGTCACTGGATAATTACACATGATCATAAAACCTTATGTTTACGGTTTATATAAAACATGTTTTAAAATTATAATTACTAATAATTACTAGAACATAAAGATTCTACTCGCAGTATTGAATATTTATTTATATAAGTATGGATTTATGTTTATTTTCCACACGGATGAAAAAATAATATCTATTGTAACCATATTGAAATAGAATTACACAAAAACTTGCTTTCGCAATACTTAGTTTTTAAATCCAAAACATTATAATAAAATACAGAAATACAGCCCCACCTTAGGCAATATATTATTTAAAGCTTTATATTAACTTAGGTTAAATGCATGGTCAAGACGGAAATCGGCGCCGCCAAGGATCGGGCTAGAGCCGAGATGCTGACGAGCTTGAATGAAGATCCATGGGGGAGGCCGTATAAGGCGGCCAGAAATCGGCCATTCTCACGNGGTTAAATGCATGGAAGCTGGGAAACATTGAATTTTCGGATAGATTCCAGTTCCAGTTTATTATGTAACCTATTTATTGGTACCATTTGATAGACCTCGCTTTCAGGACCAGTATTGAACAGTTTTTCGATATCTTGTATCGGAATTGAGATCACTTATCGTTTCCACCCCGTATAACACAAAAACCTCAATAATTTAACTAATATAAATTAAGACCCTTATCATGATTTAGCGATAATAATAATCTTTCTATCCGGTCCTGGTAAACAACGTGCTGAAAACAATGACCTCCCCTCAGGCATTATTACGACGATTGCAAATAACAATAATCTTATCCCTAGAAGAAATTGGGTGGACAATCATATTTGTATTGTTGTCAATATTTATTCAATAAGTGGAGCGTAAGACTATTTGTTGTAAGTATAATAATATCGTAACATAAAGGACTACGAGTTCCAATGCTACGAAAGATCAATGATACAAATAAGTAACTGAAAGTTTTATGAAACTTAATATTGGATGCTTTACCGACAAAAATAATTTTGAAAAATACATTAGTAAATTACGTTATCTGTAGAGGTACTATCTAAGTACTTCACCTACTTTGAAAGGTCAAGGATTTTGAATAATTAAATTGGTAAGTATAAGTTCTTCAGATCTGATAACTACTTACATAAGATAATAACACAAAGTTATGAAATTAAAAGTGATCTGAAATCGAAGAACTTAGCATTAGGTACTAATAGGCTCGTAGCATTAGCGTTTTATTAATTTTATCAACCAAAAAAATAATTTATTTTTTCTATTAGGTTTTTAAAATATTAAATGGCCCTAACATGTTTTTTTAGTTTTTTTACCTGCCAGCATTCTAAGTGGTTCCGCTTATTTTAAGGTTTGGGATGACACCCTAGTGTCAGACGTTATGATCCGGCGCAGGCGTCTGACATGGATTAAAGTGAGTGCCGTGAAAAATCAATTAAAACTAACATTTGTTCATCCAAGAACAACATGCTTGAGAATAAGACTGTGAGCGTGTCATGACCATGTCATAATTTTCTAGGCTTAATAACATTAGGTTGTTGTTGTTTTGATAAGAGTTAAAATAATAATTAAATACATAGTTGGGATAAGTAGGTACTTATGTATGATCATAGAAAATATCTAGGCTACAAGGTACATTTAGGCAATGTCAAAACTTTAAAAAAGTTTTGAAACGAAACAAAAAGCAGTAAAATAAACGACGCAATAAACACCGTACTAACCCAGACGAGAAAAAAATCTAAACAGATTCAAATAAAGGCGTGGTTGGATGCCTATTGCAGACCGTCAGCCAATATTTACATCGCAACTCACCCTAAGTTTTCCTTTCGGCTTTTCCGTCGCTTGGGAGTGATTCCTTTTTTTGATAGTCCCCATTTTGAAAAATCCTTTAAAAGTACATTTCACTGAACAATATTCACTGAGCACTCATATTGTTGACACTGGCACAAAACAGATGGGATCCGAGATCGGTGATCACTCGAAGTTTGCATCGTTTCCCGCGTAGAGTGAGAGGGCACGCGCGTCGAGTCGCGCCGCGGTCGGGCCTTGGAGTGATCGCGCTGCCGCCCGCCCCACGATCCCGGCCCATCAGCCCCCTAATTAATACACTACGCACTAATCACAAACTGCGATTGACAGTTTGGTAATCAGTTTTTTGCATTACAAATTTTAGAAAAGCATTACAAGTTGTTTGTGTACTTAGAGGAGTGAGGCATCACGAAGAAGATGAGTTGGTTTGATGATAAGTTAATAAACATTTTATGCAAGCAAATAGACGTAATATTTCACTTAGGCACTTTGTTTTGATCTTATCTGTTACTTTCGATGATAGTGGCAGATTAATCGTGTCGTACCGATGGCAGAGAATGCCTCATGGCATTAAGGTCGCGTTATGTACCTACCAAATTACATGACATTAAGATAATAAAGAAATACTTAATTATGTAGTAACTACCAATGTCTTGCTTTAATTAGCAAGATTTACAAGTAGGATGTACGAGTAAAAGCTTTACACAAAAACTTCAAGCTTCACGTAAAGTGATGTCAACAGACAATAAAGTTGCTACTTGGTAAAGTTTATCTTCGTAGTGACCTGCGGGAATTTGGGTGAGAGATAAAACTTTTATCATAAAAATACAAACAGAATGTTCAAAACATTTGTGCTTTTACTATTAGGGGTTTTCTTTACGATCATGGAAGATACTCGTATTGTATTAGGTATCAACAGCATGTGGCTAAATTCGAATAAGTTTATTAAAGCTTGTATTATTATTTCACTTGCAATAAGTATTTTTATTTTATACGGGGAGCGCAGTACCTACCGGTCCTTGTGGAAAATAGTGGAAATCCCTTAGGGGAGGCCTTGTCCAGCAGTGCCTTAAAAAAACATAATATTTTAAATTTTAATCATCCTGATGAATAGGCTTGTGTTGGAATACAAAGTTCGCTATAATCATCCTTTAAATATTTTTTACAATCAAATGTCTAATCCTTACCCAATACACAATCTGTATATCTACATATAAAATATAGTTTTTAGTAAGCCAATAACAGTGAAAAGGCAGAAAAAACTTTTTCATTAAAATAGATTATAAGCGACCCCTTTAAACCCTTGGGATTTCGGGATCTCAAAATAGAATTAGGCCAAAACTACAGATATTAAATTCCAGGATACCTTATAAAGGGATACTTACTTTATTGGAACGAATGTTTGGTATAAGGTCAAAATAAATTATACGAAAATATATTTTAAGACGATGAATGAAAGTAAATAAAAGCATCTTCATCGAAGAATTTTGTGCGTGGAAAACTATTAGCAGCAGTAACTTGCACGAGAGTTCAGAAATATTTTGAACAATAAATTAAATTAGTTTCCAAAGAACTAAGTATTAACTTTCAAAGACACGGGTTTCAAAGTTAAGTTGCTAGTTGTGCTTCAGAACTTTAAGTTTGATTCGATTATGTGGCAGCCATACAAATCTTAATAACATTTAGTAGCAATGTTAGTGCTCTTTATAAAATGTAACTCAAACACTATGTTGACCGCTAACACGTGTAACTCAGTCCTAATTAGGCAATCTTCATACCTAATTTGGGGACTATAACGGTGGGGATTATAGTCTTGATTTCAAAACATATGCAGTACAGACGCCATTCAATATCAAATAATAGTAAAAGTGCAAAATACCAGTACAGAAGACACGATTCTTTCACGCGACGATTCTTCAACGATATGTAACCCTAGCTGAAGTCAATGGGTAGGGCAGAACTGACGACCGATGCGGCAGCAAGGTTCTGGAGTGTTCACCTACGCTACAAGGTGGACCGAAGACCTCAAAAAAGGTAGCGGGAAGGCGCTGTATGCAGACCGCTGCCAACCGGTCATTGTGGAAGTCATTGGGTGAGGCCTATGTTCAGCAGTGCACGTCCTATGTCTGAAATGATTATGATGAAGTAACTCTAAGTAGGTGGTCAGAAGTAACCTCTAAATTGATACTATTTATGTAGATATTTCTGAATGTAACCGACCAATAACATGAGTAAGATTCCGTTTCCTTACTCCTGTGCAATAACCACACCGATTATCTGGGGGCACGGCAGTGCCCCCACCAAGTCGAGCAAAAAAGCGGCACGGCCGTACCATCCTTTTCTCGAAGCAATTCAGGCCATTTTCGACCGCCTGTAACTTCGTTGTGGATAAAACTAGAAGGCTGAATTTTCATTAGCTATGCAGGCATTGTAAAGACACGGTATATTTAAAATTTCATTCAATTTGAACCAGTAGTTTAAGAATTATAACGGGTCAAAGTTACTTAATTTTGTCACTCACTGACTGACTCACTGACTCACTGACTCACTCACTGACTCACCGATCATCAAAACTCTAAGGCACTTCTAGCAGACCTAGAAGCTTCAAATTTGGAATATAAGAAGTGTTTGGTGTATGAATCAAGGAAAAACTAAAATATTTGGGGGCACGGTAGTGCAACCGCCAAGTCGAGTAAAATTTTTCAATTTCGGTCCAGTTTTCTAGATACATAACTGCTGTCTACAAAATACAAAAAGAAATGAGATCCCATCAAAAACAATACTTGTCAAAAAAACCAAGTCTCGCAACTCAGTTGTTCTACGGTAAAAAGTTGTGAGATCCATGTAATACCAAGTCCAGGCCAGGAAATCTTTAACGTTTTACATAAATATATTGACTTGGCCATCGCATGAAAACACGTGTAAATAAAATTATTTAGTGCGATGGCCAAGTCAATAATTTATGTAAAACGTTAAAGATTTCCTGGCCTGGACTTGGTATTACATGGATCTCACAACTTTTTACCGTAGAACAACTGAGTTGCGAGACTTGGTTTTTTTGACAAGTATTGTTTTTGATGGGATACTCTTATCTTGAGTAGTTACACTTTACATAAAAACATCTCGTTTCGAATGTTTGCACTAAAAGCAATGTGACGGTACGAGTTGAATCTCACTAATTGTATCACAAGTTTATGTATGTGAGTAAGTATGACTAAGTAAACAGCGTCGTTCAATTGGTTAGGAATGGTAATGGTTAAGCGGTTGCTAAAAGCTAATAGCAACCTGCCCCGATAAATGTCGCGGCACATCGACACCGCATACAAATTGCACTTCTCAATCCTGTTTGGGTGATATACGGGAGAGGTAGTGGGTCAGACTTGCTGTGAGATGTATAGGAAGTATTTTGTAAGTTATTTATTTGCATTTGAGAACAATAATACAGACCTCTGGGTGCCTCTAGTACCTATGCAAATTGACATTAATTTTGACTCCATTCATCCGCTTCACACATCAAAACAGTTCATAGATTCGCTTCGTAAGTCGTATAAAGTTAAACTATTGAAAAAAATGTTTGGTTACTGCTTACACAACAAAAGTGACTACCGAACTAAGTGTTAACTATTTATAACCAAACTAAGTCTAGCTTACTACAGAATTATTTGTTTAATTTACCAAACATTTTTTTCAGTGATAGAGCTTTTGATTGCTATTTACACCAAGAATCCTGAATTACAAACACATCAATATAAGCTTTGATACACTCGCGGATTGAGATAGAGCTCTACGTGGGTGTTAAACTCGTCACGTGCCTGTTAATTAATGTTATAATTTGAAAGTTCTATGTAATTTTAGGCACGTAATATGAAACGACTCTCAAAACCTGATTCAAATACAAGTGTAGATTCAAGTTGAATTTCAATTTTAGACAAATCACAGATTTTAATCTATTTCTAAGTTGGAATGAAGCTCTCTATGCATATGACACGGAGTCTTAAAAAAACCGCACCAAGCTTTTCCTTCTATGAGCTTTTTCGTTTTCAGTCAAAGCACGACAGTTTGTGACTATATCAAAGGTCTTTTCCAAATATGCTGAAATTATACGAAGCTTGCGTCTATTTCGTTTCACTACTTGTCACTGAGTTTGCCTTTTAGAGCGTAGTTTTGAATTCTGTGTGCATCAGTGAGTTAGACGAATTTATACCGTTTTAGTTAGTTGGTTAATTAAATATGCTAAGTTCATTTTGTATACTGATGAAACCTAGTAATCTTTTGACTGAATACATGTTGTATGTGAATACGTTTTTTCTCTTATTTCTTTGAATCTAAGATAAATGTGCTTTGATACCATTTCACTAAAATTATGCTTAAATAAATTATACTAAACCATTCGTAATTCCCAAGGTTTTTACGTAGGTACTCGTACATACACATCTAAGCTGTGTAGCAAAGTTATTAAATATTAAAAAAAAACTCTTTGTATCCATTTTTTAATGCTTTGCGTGTTATAGAGCGATCCAGATTAACACAAATGAACATTGTGTTAATTGGTATATGTGATTGGTTTATAAATAAATCAGTGAGCAGTTTACTAAATAATTCAGCTTTTTATGCCCAACTAACGCTTTATCTATTTTGTCGCTTACTTGTGCATTTGCTTATTTACCTACTTTCCGAACACAGTTATAATGACTCTAATTTCATTTAACAGCATTCGGTTTCAAATTATAATTTGTTTTGACCAAAAATACAACCCCCTGGCACAGATATAATAGTTACTAGTCCCCTAATTAGAGTCAAGGTTGAATAAGTTATTGAAAATGGTGACGTAGAACTGATCAGTGAATAATTGGAGGATGTCGACCACCACGATCGTAGTCGCCCATTACCTTGTCAGTCAATGCGCAAACGATTAATTATTTAGTATTTACCGTCATATCATAAAGTTATGGTAAGTATCTGTATCGATAACAGTGTTGGGACCTTGAAAACTGACGAAGGAATTAAGTGAATTTGTTTTGAAGTAAACTGACTCTACCTTAGTTGAGGTATAAGCACAGCACGCACACGCCTATCGTGTTTACGCTACAAAAGGCAATTAGACAATCCCTACTTACCTAGCAAACGGTGTTCAATTAAAGAACATCTGTGTTTTGGCTCTGTTAATGTCTCCAGGATAGAACAACAATAACTATAGAGCTTTACCTTACTCAAAACCGCAGAATATCTCCATATTCGTCCATCCATTGCTATACAAAAGCC